ACGCCATAACAAATAATAATCATTTAGTTGTTTCCATGTCTTGCTGTTTCTCATTTTTGGAGTATTTTTGTATGCATAAATGTTACGGGGAGTTAAGATTATTTATGCCGTGTTATAACATCCCTGCGTGAACTGTCATACTCTATATTTCTGTATTCATGCAAGCATGGATGTTCATCTACAAAGGAAGATACAAGCACCACCCTGGCCATCACATACCTTGAGCACATCACCAACGACGAGGTACACAGTAAAAGCCAGGAGTACAGTGGCCCCAACGAAGACCTTCTCATTATAATGAAGAAAATTAAGCTGAAAGGGTATGGCTACGTAACACGATCTGCTGGCCTTGCAAAGACAAGTTCGTCAAGGAACCGTGGTGGAACGGAGGGGAGGGGGAAGCCAAAAGAAAAAAAGTGGAATGACAATGTCGAGGAATGGATGGAGAAACAATTCGCAGAGACCCAGGACCTTGCACACGACCGCGACAGATGGAGGAGACTGGTGAACAGTTCAACATGTCATTGCCTCAATGACTCATTGCGCTTTAAGGGCAAAAGAAGATAAATTCTTTTCTCGCTTGTGAAACTCTATTCCAGCTCCATGCTTTTTAGCCGACTTTGATCTTCAAAAATTTAAATGCAATGTCAATCGTTATTTACTGTCTGCTTGATTCCCCGTCTAATGGTTTTCCTACCTTGCATGGGGTGAAATGATTAAAAAAATATGTTGAGAGGACGTTCGTTACAGTTTCTGGGAAAAGATCATATAATCAAACATGATCACCACGTTTCGCCGTCGCCGAGCAGCCAGTGTGCTTTCTCCAGTCCTGGTGAACAGTTGTACTCTTAATGAGGTTCCTTGTGCGTAACATCTTTTGGGGCTCATATTCACCGTAAACCTCGAGTAGAACTCATATATACGATCCCTAGCTAAAGATGCTAAAAGAATTTCAGAAAGACCATGCCAGGAGGAGTCTGCTACTATCTTTACAAGAATCATACCTGACCAAAAATAGAGTATTGCTGACATATCTGGGCTGGAGCTGCACAATACTCACATTCCAGTCTTGAGAGAACACAAAAGTGTTTACGCGGTTTTGTTGGCAATGAATTGTTTTCCACCATACAACTCCTTTCCCCCAAACGAAACTCTGCTAGCCTTTTGCTTATCTGGAGATAACAAGTGTTTTGAAAATGCTTACTTTGTGAACGGTATTATAATTACCTAGCCTCAAGTGACACAAGTTGGGTTTTACGTGGAGATCCCATAAACATACGTAAGCATATGGACAAAGATTGCCCGTCATCGTGACCACTGTCATACTGGCATCGATATTACACCGACGCCGCCTCTCTTAGTGTAATGAGGAAGGTGCTGCCGCAGGGTTGGAATCGCCGGACCGCATAACTTCTCTCATTTAAAATGAGGAGAAAAGTTTACTCCATTTCCGGTCAAAAATTGAACTCCTGTGCCAAACTATATACTAGGGTAGGGCATTCGGAAACTACGTTTTACAAGAAAGGATATGAAACAAATGCAGGGTAAATCTATTTAAGTATTATTTATTAAAAAAAGACCAAGAACGACCAATCCCAAAGACCTCAGCGGTGGAACAAGTGAATGATAATTATGTAAGGATACAGAAGGTGCTTATCTCACTTTGGTAGAGATAAGTCACGTGGGTCACATAACAGCCGTTTAATGACGCCACTCCATTCAGTGACGAAAGTGACAGCCAAATTAAGATTTTTTACAGCAGCGAAACCGAAATTTTGCTTCATTTAGCCCGGGCATACTATGGCCCGGGCAGAGGCTAAATCCGCCTCCCTCATAAGCTTACAAATCCGTGGCGCTGTTTCCCGTTGGAAATATATCTTTCACACATACAGAATGAAACTCCAGCTCACAGTCCTCAATTTGGGAAAACTCAAGACACGCCATTTCCCGTTTGTGCAATCTCGATGAATCTAGGCGTTTAACTCTAGAGTCCTGAATATGGCCTCTCCGGATACAGGAGTATCTCCATATTATATGTAAGACCCTCCTCCAATTACAATTACAACATATCTCATTGGTTGAAGCAGCAGATGAAGAGGGCTACACATGCTGGACATACTACCGAAGGCGCCACTCAAAATTGTAACAGAATTAGCAGTAGTTAGTTGCAGTTTCATACCGAGATTCTGCATGTTTCATTCGATATCGGCTGCAGAGGGAGGTCATGAAATCAAGTGTGTGGGTCAGTCCACCTGAAACAAATTCCACAGTGGTAAGTCCACACAATTTCACGTCATCGGCAGTTTCTTCTACTCCAACCAACTCCTACAAACGGTAAGAGAAAATGGATGACGGGACCAGGTTTTGGTTCTAATCCGGAACCTGCGCATTATAAAGAAAGCGATCAGCAAAGAAGAAATTAAATTATTGGATAAGAGATAAAAACGTCGATGATTAAAAATGTATATATATATATATATATATATATATATATATATATATATATATATATATATATAATCTTTTAGAATTCCAGAACGTAAGTTCAATACGAAACTGGTAAACGACTATTGGAGTGCTTAAGGGATAAGCATAATAGAAGCTCAGCCATTAATGAAGTTTTAACGGATGAAACGCGTCGCAAAATGTTTTTCCCAATTTGTCATACAATTTTCATATATACATATACATATATAGAGGCGACAGGCTGTTTCATGCTAGACGCAATCGCCAGGCCGCGAATGTTGGATTTTTACTCGACTATTTATAGATATGGGTCAGTGGTGCATTGTGGATAATCTTTTCTAGCGGTTATTTTTGCGGGAGTGGCTTGTTTATTTATTTGTTTGTTTTAATTTATTTTACTTGTTTTACTTTTTCATTTTGTATTATTTATTCTTTTCTGTTTTTGATGTGTTATTAACGTAGTAAAAAAAATAGAGGGTAGTTGCTTAGGTCGCTTATTTAATAGTTTGTTTTGGTCTGGGAAGATAAAGCTATTTATTCGTCCAATGTTTAGATTGCTTGCCACAGTCTATTCTGTTATTTTGGCAGGGGGCACTTTTTAATTAATTTACTTATTTGGATTGATTATTTTTACTTGTTTATTTATGCTTATTTTTATTAGTTTTAACGGTTATTTTAGCGAGGGCGATTTGTTAATTTGTTCATTTATTTATTTGGATTAACTTTTATGTCTTTTTTATTTATTTACATATTTCTTATTTTGTATATTTTTTATTCAATCAATTTGGTTTTCGATTTTTGAGTAGCGTGGTAATGTTTTTTATCGTTATATAGTAGTTATAGCCATTTCTATGAACAATTTTTGGATTGGTTATTGTAGTGTATTCTAACGGTTATTTTGGCGGGATTGTTTTGTTAATTTGTTAATTATCATTTAATTTATTTATTTGGGTTGATTATTTTTACTTGTATTTTATGTTTTTTATTTTTATTCTATTTCGTCTATTTTAACGGGAGTGGTTTGTCAATTTGTTTATTTGTTTGGGTTAATTTATTTTACTTGACGTTTACATTATTTTGTTTATTCATTTCAGTTTTCGGTTTTTAAGTATTGTAGTAAAAATTTGTTTTTATGCCTGCATTTTGAGATGAGCTCAGATCGTTTATTTAGCAATTTATTTTGGCCTGGGAAGGTAATAATGGCTATTTTTTCCTGCAAGTGAAGTTTGCAGGTTTTTGATTGATTGTTGTAGGCTGATGAGCTTTTCCGTATTTTTCATATTTTTAGTGTGATTTCTGATTTTGTTGTTTTTAATTTCCCAGATATACTTAGAAAGCATTGTGCTGTTCGTGTATTTACTATCGATGAAAGATGTTTTGTGTGCATAGTTTCTTTGTTTCCAGGGTTCTTCAGTTAAAGAAAACATGTGTCCTCCGACTTAGTTCATTTCATAATATAATAATATGTAAGATGTCATTTGTTTACGTTAAAATATGCTTCGAACAAATATGAGCGTTCGAGAGAAATGATGAGAAATTTGTGGCTTAAAAACAGTAATTTAACCTTGCTCACCAGACGTTTCCTCTGTAGTAGCACGTCAGTATATATGACAGTTCGTTGTAGTATACAGGTTCAACTTCTATCGGAAGACTTATTTTCTTTGAGATTTCTCGGACATTCAGGCCGGTAAATGTTTTTAATACTGTTTATTATAAACATAGCATTTACTTAAATATTTGTATCTATAAAAATAAAGTATAACCAGAATATAATATATATATATATATATATATATATATATATATGTATATGTGTGTGTACTCGAGTAGGTGTTGAAATGTTCTCAGCCCCACCCATTTCCCCTAACCTGACTAAATGTTCGAACGGTAAAGAGTCATATTAGAGCACACAGATTGTTAATTATTATTATTATTATTATTATTATTATTATTATTTATTAATAATAATTAAAAATAAGATTTAACCGTTACTTAATATTTTATTTTTTTTTAATTACAATTTTGCTAATTCGGTCGATCAACAATAAACAGCAGATGAGTGGAATGAAAATGCTAATCGAGATTAATAATTACTGATATCAACGAGTTTAAATTTTTTTATAATCGTTTAGGATTGGCTTTCCGGTTCCTTTACTCTTCTCATTCTTTTTCACTCCCAGTAACATCTTGCGTCTTAGTGGCATTATTGCCTTCCTTGGATGAAGTGAATTTAAAAAAAAATTGATCAAGTCTTGGAAAAGCATATAAAGTTTATAGTAAAAGCGCTTACAAAAACGGACATTATTTCGATCATTATAATTAGAAGCTACAATATGAAATTTCAAATTTTAAGAAATTGAGAATCAGCTTGAAAAATGGCATTCAGAATCGTGCGAATTTTAATAGTAACTACGAATACGTATGTTATCTTTTTATTTTCAAAGAAATAGTTCAATTCAATAATAAATTTCATTAATCCAATTTTAAGATCTGTTTCAGCTGCTTTCCAAATTGTCAGTATTCAAATTCAATCATTACTTTGACGCCATTGCATTCGCTTGTCGTTTCTGCTCGTCGACTGGAGGCGCAGGCACTAGTATTTCGGGAACTCTCTTGGAGAAGGGGTTATGATAAAAACGCTTCTTCAGAGATGACTGGATGCCGTTGTCAGCTGCCCTTCTTTTTTCCGTCTCGGATAAACCAAAATTGTTCTCTTGTTTCATAATTGGGGCTCTCCTCGTAAGAAGGTCCGTCAATTCCCTGATGCACGGGATCAAGTTCTTGAGACAATTCTCGCAAAAATCATGTGACGATTGTTGCGTGCAACAGGAATCGGAAAAATGGCGGGCTTTCGGTAGTCGGGCGCACGAAGCACATGTTTTTTCCTTGGTTGAACCTCTCGGACACTTAGCGACGACTGTTCCTAATAGAATCAGCTGACTTAGAATTATTAGAAAGAAGATCTTCATCGCAGAAATGCCGGTTGGAATATGTTTAACGGCCATCTATATAAAAAAAAAAGAAAAGAAAAGAAAAGCAGTTAAACGAAGTTTTTGGTCACACACACACACACGCACACACACACACACACATATAAGTTATGATAAAATATAGTTTTGAGGTACGCTATATTTATGGGTTTGTAAGGATACAAAAGGCGATTATCTCCTTTTGGTTGAAATAAGTCACGTGGGTCACGTGACGGCCATTTAAAGACGTCACTCCATACAGTGACGAAAGTGATCAGTCAATTTCAGTCGGTTTACAGGAGCCAAATCGAGCGGCTTTTTTTTTTTTTTTTTTTTAAAGCCCTAGTCAAGGGACTCGGGCTGAGGCTAAATCTGCCCCAACCCCGCAGCACCTTACAAGTGCTTGATGCCGTTTCCCATTGGGAATATACCTTCCCCAGATATGTTGAAGAAATTTCGGCTGGCAAGTCCTCAATTTGGGAAAACTCAAGACCCGCTGTTTCTTGTTCGCGGAATATGTCATCGCTTGGGAGATAGTAGATGAATCCAACCCGTTTGAATCTGGGGTCCTAAACATGTCTTCTCCAGAAACACAGAAGGATCTCCATATTATATGTACGACCCTATCTTTTCGTTCTCCCTTCATTCTGCTGTTTTTGCTATGATAAATCATTCTCCGCGGGGAACACGTGTAAATATGTATATATAGTTTTCGGTATGTCTTAGTGGTATAAAACTATCTCTGAGAACAAAGCATATTTGCCATACATTTTTCTTTCAGCCATTCTGTTCCCTCCATGAAACACTGTGTTATTATATCATGAATATAATAATGTCCATAATGGGGGAAATGTAAATGTGAGAATAAACCATTCTTCCATCAGTTTAAGGAGCTCATTATCAGGGACAGTGCGTATATTAACCGTTACCGCCCACCCAATAACCGTTAAGATAATACAATAGACCTACCTTTAATGGGCCATTAACCAGCATATATAAATAGTCGTGCCAAAACACAACGCTCATCTCGAAGATTGCGTTGAAGTATGAAATAGACTGTCGCTACTGGGTGTTGACTTCAATGTCAACGTGTATATATATATATATATATATATATATATATATATATATGTATATATAATGTGTGTATGTGGTGTAATGGTTAGCAAGTTTATATCCTTAAACAATTACGATGGAGAAGCGAGTAATAGTAGCGAGTATAATTTAGTGGCACAAGACCGCAAATAATTGCGGTCTTGTGCTACTAAGTTATCTCTCTCTCTCTCTCTCTCTATATATATATATATATATATATATATATATATATATATATATATATATACTTTTAAAATTTATTAGTGTTTGTTTTTAATTTCCCATATATATTTAGGAAGAATTGTACTGTTTCCGTATTTATTATTTTAAATGATGTTTTGTGTGCGTAGTTTCTCTGTATCCAGTGTCATTCAGTTACTCCTATATATTTTTTTTTTTGCTATCTGCTGATTTACAGTGGCTTGGTATATTACATTGTTTTGCAAACAGTTGCCGTTTAAGGGACATTTCGTCTTTCGCTCTGTAGTTTGATTTGTGCGGGTAGTTGGATGTTTTTCTGTTGTGAGTTTTTATTATTTGTATCATATTTGCTTTGAAACTGTAGCTTATTTTTACTGTGTTTTTTGTTGAATATCTGTGGCGAGTTCTTGATGAGGGGATTATTGTCTTTAATGAATACTTTTTCTACATGTTTTTAATTTTTTGTTGAATGGTGGGTTGAACCATATGATGTTTATTTTCCTGTTGGCTATTTTGTGCCGTGGTGTGTATGTGAGTGTTGTCGATAATTCACTACCTTTTAAGGCTGTTTCATAATCTCTCTTCTCTTCGTTGAAGATGGTTTCATTGGAAGACCTGTCAAATAACCTGATTGTGGGATCTGCTTGATTATTCATGTTGGGAGGTTGGAAGATGTGTGCATATAAATTGGTTTGTCATTAGGTTTTCGGTATGATTGATATGTACCTCTTCTTAGACTGAATGTGACATCTTGAAAATCTACTTCTTTTAGGTTAGTTTTTATGTATGCCCTATCCTACATTTTGGAAAATTTTTATTATTACTCTTTTGGTCTTGTCTGTTACAATTTCTCAATATTATGACACCATCCTTCCTGTAGAGGCCCATATAATTTTATCGATCATTTTACTTAGTTCGAGTAGTTAATGTATACCTATGAGCTTACAGTATGCACCATCAAATCTTCCTATTGTAATATCAAAGATTCCTTTTTTCTTTATCCACGCGTCTTTGTTGTCAAATAATAGAGATTTTCGGGAGTATTCAATGATTTTTATTTGTTCTTGATCTAAGGAGATGGTTTTATCCAGCATGGGTTCTGTTATAGAAAAGTAGAAATCTTTTATCTCTAGTTGTATAAATTGACAATTGTGTATATATTTTAGGTTGCGGAATCAGTCTATAGTTGTTTTTGTGTTTTCCCACTGATTTACTCCCAAATTAATTTTTTTTTTAGTATTATTTTACTTATTTTACCTAGTTCGCTTTTGGTCGTGTTTATGAGTTTGCATGTTGGGTTGGTTCTGCAAATTTTTAGTCTTTTTTGTTTGGTCTTTTAGTTTGATAAAAGCTTGAGATTTAGCGATGCAGTTTATTCGGTTGTCTAGGTCTAATGTTTGGGCGATTGTTTTAGCTTCCATATTAATATCGTCTTCTTTTGGTTTTGGTGCTTTTCTCTATGTTTTACTTATGTTGTCCTTGAGTAATTTGTTCTGTTTTGTGGGCTTAGTTGGGAAACATTTCTAGTTTGTCCGTTGCAATAAATACGTTACGTGAATTGCTTATTTTATTTTTTATTTTTTGGAAGACATCTAATTGTTTATGAAATGTTATCTTTCTTATTAAATTAGTCAAGTCTGTCCCGAAGTCGTCTAGTTCTTTGTTTTTGGGGGACATGTTTTTGTTTTAAAGCCGTATTTTTCCCGGAAAAATGTGATATTTGTGGCTCATTAGAGTTACGCCTGTCCATCATTTAGTTGCAACGAGGCTTGATATTGATGTCATCAGACTTGTCACTGAAATTCGAATCAACACAATATTCTCTTGAAGATGAAAACATTTACTCGATTAAACTGTTCAGTGGAAATAAATTGGTTGTATTAGTGACATGGATACACCTACAAGACATGTGTCATGACCATTCAATTCAGCATGTGAAGGATCATGGCTATACGCAACTTTCTATCTTTTAAATAATTTTACTCATTTATAACACCTCTTTGTTTACTCAAGCATGTCAAGTTACTCAGCGTTTTTCTCTGTTACTCTTGTCTTCAGTGTTCCACATAAATTCTCTAAACCCTCTGTCCACATTATACAGGGGTTTTGCTCTCAGTATAATTTCTGGATTATCCAAATAGATCTCGTTTTCCCAGCAGTTCAAATATATCCTTGTATCGTACCTTGTCAAATGCCTTTGCATAATCTTTAAAACATAAGCGCGCATCCCTTTGCACCTGTATTGCTCTCTCTGACACGCTGATAATGAATATTGCATTTCTTCTTCTGGTGTCCTTGACAAAGTCGCACTGTTCATGTCCTATTTATGGTTTGATTCTGCCACGTGCTCTATACATCAGGATTTGCATCATTAGTTTGTTTATGTGGCTCATTAAACTGATTGTTCAATCGAGTTCATATTTATTTGCACCTGGTCTCTTGGGTAATGTTAAGAACGATTTAGTGAGGTACTCCGGTATGTGGCCACTCTTGTATATTTCGTTTGTTATTTCAGTGATCTTGTTGATGCCAAAGTCATCTAAGGCTGATAATATTTCTGTTTCAATCCCATCAGGCCCTGCTGCTTTGTTCCTTTTCATCTTCTCCAGTGCAGATCTTGCTTCATCTTTTAGTGTCTCTGGTCCTTCTGTATTTTGCAGTGCAGGTTTCTCTCTTCTATTGTGAAAAACTTCTTTGACGTATTCGCCCCCAACAATGGAGTATTTTGTTTCAATTATCAATCATCCTTATTTTGATTTTATTGAACCTGTTGGCTATCTCACCTTTCGTTTTGTTAACTATTTTATTCTGTTGTGTACACTTGCTGTGTCTGTCTTGCTCTGTTTCGATGCTTATTTTTCGCTGATCCATTTACCCTACTTATATTCGTTTTTAATTTCCGTGCTTAGTGTTTGGTATTCGTTTCCATTCCCTAGCATTGTTTGTTGTCACTTTTTCATCATCGCTAGAATTTCTTCTGTCATCCAATCATTCTTTTCTTATCTAGATTTTTTTTTTGGGGGGGGGATGACATTGTTTGCCAACATCACTTTTGTTTTTCTCACTTTGATTTTGTATTCTCATTCAGGTCATATTCATTCATTACTTGCAACTTAGATCTTTCATGAGTCTGTCATGTTGCAGTTTTGGTATTGCTTTGGCCTTCTTTAGTTTTCTTAGTTTTACACTGATGTAAAATCATCATCGCTAGAATTTCTTCTGTCATCCATTCGTTTCTTTCTTGTCTTTGCGATGTTCTTGTTTGCCAACATCACTAGTGTTTTTCTCAGCATGGTCCACTTTGGTTTTGTATTCTCATTCAGGTCATATGCGTTCATAACTCTGTTTTTGTATGTTTCCTTGCAACTTGGATCTTTCAGGAGTCTGTTATATTGTAGTTCAGGTGTTGCTTTGGCTTTTAGTCTCTGTAGTTTTACATTGATGTAGCACTCTACTGGAAAGTGGTCGCTCCCCAGTCAGCACTTGGGCACGTTTTGCGGTGTACAATTGTGTTACTGAACCTTTTTCTGATACTTACATAATCAATTTGGTTATTTGTGTCTTTTCCTCAGATTCACCATATTCACAGGAATCTTGTTTACTCCTGGAACCAGGTATTGGTATTTATTTGATTGTTTGCTGTGCGCCACAGGACCCATCTTTCGCTACCTTCGTTTCGGGATCCTAGTTCAAAGTTTCGTTTTCTTGTCCTTTATGTTGGGCCTTGGCTTTGACAAAGA